TTTTAAAAGCTCTTGTTGCTTCCCTGCGAGCCTCTTCGAATCTCTTCTTTGCGTTGGCAAGCGCCCTCGTGGCTGATTCATCCACACCAGTAAGCTCCACGTTTACGTTTCGCATTTCTTCGGCTAGAGCAAACGCTTCAGCACAGGCTGCTTGTACAGGTTCCTCTCCTCCCTCACTTCTGGACCTTGCTATATCGAACACTTCATAGAGCAGGTCGATTCCTTCCTCAAAGAAGCTGATACTTGCTAACAAATCTTTCCTTGATAATCCATCTAACTTTGACTTGATATCGTCTATCTCACGGACGATCACACTGCGAAATTTTTGTTCTGTTACGTCGCCTTCTTTCAGCTTCTCCGCTGCCTTATCTCTGCCTTTATTCACTAGCAAGCCAATAGTGGCTTTGAAGACGGCAGTTACAATCGAAGACATTATCCTTGAGTAAATGGCTTTTAATTCTTCTGTTATTCACTGCAGCGATGGAAACAACCTCGTTCCCAGGGTCTCTCATCTTACCGCCCCTTGGAGCGAGCGAAGAACGATATTCTAGGACAAACATTGCACCAATTTGTTGTGAATATTATCGGGTACCCAGGGCTCAAGGCTAACACCACTGCCAACTAGCCACACATTTCAGTTTTGAATAGTAGATTTTGCACTTAGCCATTGTGACAATCATGATGGAATGGAGTACTGGTCTACTGGATGAAGACAAAATTGAGAATNACACTGCGAAATTTTTGTTCTGTTACGTCGCCTTCTTTCAGCCTCTCCGCTGCCTTATCTCTGCCTTTATTCACTAGCAAGCCAATAGTGGCTTTGAAGACGGCAGTTACAATCGAAGACATTATCCTTTAGTGAATGACTTTCAATTAATACTTTAGTTTGGTATCAAATTATTCGCTGCAGTGATGTCTGAAACAAAGTGAACAGATTCAAAAAAGTCTCGGAATGTGAATAAATTTTCAAAACAAAGAGCTTAAGTTCTAGTCTAGTGATTCACAAAAGAATCGAAAATAATCATTGCTGATGTAATGTTTCTAAAATTTGAAACTGTGAAAATAACAAAGAAGAAAATGTCCCTATAAGAGGTTTAAAGCATTCAGTTCAGTAATAGTCCTTGGCTTTTTCATCGAATCCTGGAAAAAAAAGAAATATGATCTTATGATTTTCTTGTTTCAAAGAGGAAAACAGTATTTCAGAAAGCTTTTGCATATGAATGAAATTTCGAAATAAACAGACAATTAACTCAAGTTCTAGTCTAATGATTTACAAAAGAATCGAAACTATAAACTTTGTGATGCAATGTTTGTCAAGTTTTGAACTGGGGAAATGGGAAGTAAGAAAATGTCTCAACCTACTTTACAAGAGATTTGAAGTATGTTTTTTAGCTCTTTCATAGTGGTTGGTTCTTTTATCGAATCCTGGAAAGTAGTGACTACGATCTTGATCTGGAAAATATTTCAAATATG